CTTCCTGAGGCACAAAGCCTAGAAGCCAGAGCTCCCAGGACATTGTGGTTGCATGCATTTCCCAGCCCATTAGAATGGAATTTCTTTGGTATAAATTACTAAACTTTTAGGGTCATTTTGGGTCTGCATCATGGGCTAAGCAGCTGTTTCACTTGTCACGTGTTAACTGATTTGTTCTGGATCAGAGGCTACAAGGCAAAAAATGAAGCTGGGGAAAAAAGAGCAGGTAGAGAGGTCAGCAGTTAGCAGAGATGTACTGGCGTGACCTTTGTTGTTAGCAATAAAGAGCGCTTGGGCTGACTTCTGTTGTCATAACACTGGAAATATTACAGCCCCTCACCCCAGGAAAAACTCCTTACCTAAGAATGAATTCCATTGGCATTTTTGGGTCATATCATTAAAAATCTTCTGAGAATGGACAAAGCTTTTGTTGATCATGAGCAAGATCTTGCTGAGGCCTTGTGCAAAGAACAAAATGAAATCTTGGCCTGGAGTGGAGTAGAGACCATGAAGTTGTATGGAGCACTGTTTAGGGGGGAAAGTATTTTCAGGACACCTACTTTAAAAGCAGATTATTAATATAATGATCTGAGCTGTTAATATACGGAATAAGTACCTATCATGATCTTGCTACAAGTCCTTTAGCAACCTTCATGCACTTGTGTCAGAACTAACTGCAGTTTACAAGTTTGTTCTGTTTTGTTAAATTTTGGAAGTGTTCCATTTCTTACCATGGTTCAGTACTCGAGAGATTTGTTGCCTCATCTGCTCCAGACACAAGAACTTAGAATGAGCTTTAGAGGCTATTAGTCTAATGTTCTACCTAATATAAGAATTCTCAATCTTTACTTTTTTTTATTTTCTCAAGTTTTACCTATATCTCCTTTTTCCCCAATTGACTCCCCCCAGCCATTCCCACCCTGGGCAAGCCCCCACCGCCCCAGTGTCTGTGACCATTGGTTATGTTAATGCTAGAGGCCCAGTGCATAAAATTAGGTGGTGGGAGGTCCCCTCAAACCAGCCTGCACCCTTTCCAATCCAGGGCTCCCCGGGGGATCTCTGACTGCCAGTTTAGGCCCAATCCCTGGGATCAGTTGGACATCTGATGTAAACTGACAGTTGAACATCCCTCTCATAATCCGGGACAACTGGCTCCTAACTGCTCACCTGCCTGCCTATTGCCCCTAACTGCCCCCCTGCCAGCCTGATCACCTTTAACCGCCTCTGCCTGCGGACTGGTCACCCCTAACTGTCCTCCACCTGCCAGCCTGGTTGCCCCCAATTGGCCTCTCCCGGTCTGGTTGCCCCACGCAGCCTGCTGTTCAGTCATTTGTTCAACCCTCACTAATCCCTCTGCTGGCCTAGTCGTCCCATTAAGTCTGCTGTTCAGTTGTTACTGTGAGGGTGTCCTGATAATTTGCATATTATCCTTTTATTAGTATAGGTGCATACATACAAGTCCTTTGGTTGCTCTCTAACCCCCTCTCCACTACCATTTGTCTTTATATTGATATATTCTTCATATTATGTTGATCATTATATCCCACTTATGAGTAAGATCATGTAATATTTATCTTTCTCCGACTGGCTTATTTTACTTAGCATAATGTTCTCCAGTTTCATTCATGTTGTTGCAAATGTTAAAAGTTCCTTCTTTTTTATAGTGGCAAAGTATTCCATTGTGTAGATGTACCACAGTTTTTTAATCCACTCATCTGCTGATGGGCACTTAGGCTGTTTCCAAATCTTAGCTATTATAAATTGTGCTGCTATGAACATAGAGGTGCATATATCCTTTCTGATTGGTGTTTCTGGTTACTTGGGGTATAGTCCTAGGAGTGGGATTACTGGGTCAAATGGAAGTTCCATTTTTAGTTTTTTGAGGAAACTCCATACTGTTCTCCACAGTGGCTGCACCAGTCTGCATTCCCACCAGCAGTGCAATAGGGTTCCTTTTTCTCCACATCCTTGCCAGCACTTGTTGTTTGTTGATTTGTTGATGTTGGCCATTCTAACAGATGTGAGATGGTACCTCATTGTTGTTTTGATTTGCATCTCTCGGATGATTAGTGACTTTGAGCGTGTTTTTATATGTCTCTCAACCTTCTATATGTCCTCTTTCAAAAAGTGTCTATTTACATCCTCAATCTTTACTTTTGTTGGTTTTCAGTGTCCTAAGACTATACCTGTTCACAAAATGAACATAATTGATTATTTTTATCAATGAACATCAGCTTATATAAGAGTTTGTATATTAATATAAATCTGCAAACATACATAGTTCACCTTAAATTATTATTTCTGTTAATAAAGTAGCAAAGGAAAGTTAATTCATGTCCTTATGCTATCTATACTAATAATATCCTAGGTGGTCGTCACACCCTCATGCCATGATGCTGTCACACTGTCACAATCCCACAATCCATCACCAGGAGGCTGCATGCGCAGCGGGTGCATGCAGGTGGGTGGGGACTTGACACTGTGTGCATGGCGTAAAGGCAGGGCCGGGTGGCCGCTCTGCATGGCCAGGCCTGGGGGTCCCATGGCCCCGCACACAACAGAGGCGGGACCCCTGGCTCCAGCCTACTTCTTTGGGGCGATTCCTAGAGGAGCCCCAGATGGGTGGGCAGGCCCTACCTCTTTGGGGAGATTGATCGCAGGGCTCCTGCACTTTGAGAGGGCACAGGCCAGACTGGGGGACCCCCCTTCCCAAGTGCACAAATTTTGTGCACTGGGCCTCTAGTTAGATAATAAATATGAATGTACACGAAGTGTATTTATAGAGTAATGAGCTGCCTTTACATTTATAAGTTCCATTTGTATATGGTCAAAATTGGACTGTCCTATAAGCTATTGTAGGATATATTTGTATAAAATTCTTTAATGAAGTTTTGGTTGCGCTACATTATTGTATTATTAATACTATATTATTGTTTACCTACAAAAGAAAATTCCAAAGGGCTCTTGTTTAAAACAGATGCACACACACATTTTCTGCTATCATTTCTTCAAACACTCAGACTCATCATTTTTCTCAGTGGAGTTTCAGAGGCATCACGTTTGCATGAGTTTTACATGCTGCACAAAGAATTCTTTCTGGAAAGTTTCTCTCATTTACTCTTTTCATACTTAGAACACTCACAGATGCTATTCCAGAAAAAACAAACAAACAAACAAACACCCTAAAAAATAAGCCCATGAATTTCTGAGTTTCAGAAGCCACCAGGAAATGTGTTTTTTTCGAAGCATGGGTAAGATCACAAGCCAAACTCAGCAGCCAGAGGTATAACGTGACTTCCTCCTCCCGCTGACCACTCACTGTGTGCATTCCAAATGGTAGGGCCTGCGCTCAGAAACAGAGACTAACTGGAAAGGTCATCAGCTTGTTGCTTGGGTTTTCTCTCAGAGACAGATGAGGACTGCAGTTAATTGGAATTTAACCCTTCGACCTTTGCCCTGGGCTGTGTAATTCCCATTGAATTGGCTCTCGTTTCTTGAAGGCGTGATTCTGTGCTGCAGGCAGATCCCCGCCAATTTTTTTTTAATTTTTTATCATGCATGATTGCTTTGTGTGTCACTGTTTGCAATAGTGCTTACATGGTTTTGGCTCAAGATGCAACTGGCCTTTGCCCCAAGAATCCAACATTAGAAAAGTGACTGGCATTACAGGTTTAAAATTAAAGGTCTGTGAAGTTTTTCTTTCCCACCCAGAGCGATACCGGGATAGACTCTGCCACTGTCGCGTTGCTATCTCTAAGTGTGCATGGTGGTGTCAGTGTTTACATTCGTCACAATCAGAGTTACTAACAGTAGTTTAGTTCCGAAAATTGTGTGGCTATGAAGAGTGTCACAATTATCATTCCAGTTTCCATATCCCCTCCCTTTTCCCATCAGGCCTTGTATTTCAGAAAACCAAAGGCTTGCAATTCTTTGAAAAGATTTTTCCCCTTTTTGAGTTAAAATTAAGACAAAGTAAAGAAATCATGCCAGAAACGAAAGACCTGCTGGTCCCCACGTCCTACCCCAAGTAACCATTTCAAATAGTTCAGGGTATTTTTCACCCACTTGTTTTCTAGATATAATGATATGTTTTATGTGTATATAAAAATGCAATCACCCTGGCCGGTTTGGCTTAGTGAATGGAGCGTCAGCCTGCGGACTGAAGGGTCCCAGGTTCTATTCCAGTCAGGGACACATGCTCAGATTGCAGGCTGGATCCCCAGTGGGGAGCGTGCAGGAGGCAGCCAATCAATGATTCTCTATCATTATTGATGTTTATATATCTCTCTCCCTCTCCCTTCCTCTCTGAAATCAATATATATATATATATATATATATATATATATATATATATATTTTTAATGCAATCACTACTATTACCCTGTTTTGAAAGGAGTTGTTTTCACTGAGCAATGTAACTTGGACAGTTTCCATATCAGTTCAGAGATCTACCTCATTCTTTGCCAATAGTTACGTGGTATTCTATTGCATGGCTGAACCATAGTTTGTTTAACTACAGTATTTCCCTCACACAAACCTTTTTTTAATTTTTTAAACAAATGAGAATGAGGTGAAAATCTCTGCTGATATCAGCTTCAGGGACTTTCCAGCTGCATCTTGTTAAGTCTTCTGTAGTCACAGACCATACTATTATAGATGAATGACAACCTGAGTTTCCTGTCAAGGATTAATGTTTCATGCTGATTAGCTAGTATTCATATTTTAAATCAGTGACATGTTAAGGGGATAAAATTTTATTTCTGTGAGAATAGAGTCAGAAATTCATCTGATCATGGTTCCCTTCCTAAGCTTATTGAGAAAATGGATTTTGAGTTACTTTTCCAAAGAGAATTTTAATTAGCTATGTGTCTTGTGAGTGAAGACCACCAAAAGCCCCAGCTGATTTGGCTCAGTGGATAGAGCGTCGGCCTGCGGACTGAAGGGTCCTAGGTTTGATTCTGTTCCAGGGCACATGCCTGGCTTGTAGGCTTGATCCCCAGTAGGGGGTGTACAGGCAGCAGCTGATCAGTAATTCTCTCTCATCATTGATGTTTCTCTCTCTCTCTCTCTCTCTCCCTCTCCCTTCCTCTCAGAAATCAATAATATATATATTTTAAAAAGACCACCAACAAATAAATAGGTTATTTACTTCTTAACTATTGAAAACTGATCTCACATTTAATATGTATTTTATTAATGTTAATTAGTATTATATTCATGTTTTAGATCATTGGATCTGTGTTTTGCACCTAAAGTCTGTCTTCTTGTCAACGATTGTCATGGATGATATCATGGAACTGACAACCAAATATGTATAGATCAGTGAAGTGGGTGCAATGTCACCAGCACATCAGGGACAGAACCAGGAGCCTGCATTCTCCTGCCACCATCACATACTCCTGCCTCTGCACCTTGAGAGAGTGCAGACAGTCAGGCAGCTGGGGAGGCAGCTGGTTTCTGCATTCAGAGCACATCAGCCTGAGTTTGTGAATGGCCTGGATCATTATGCAAGACGCACAGCGCTGTTATTAGCACCACCCTGGTGATTGCTGTGCAGTAACTGCTGTCCAGAACACCCTAATTGAGGTCCTTCCTTGCATGGAGTTGACATGATGTTTACGTAAATCCCTCACTATGACATTTTAATGGATATTTGTAACAAAGTCCAAAGGACAATTAGAACCACCATCCATGCAAAAAAATCATTTTTTTTTAAGACAAGACACGGTGCTAACATGTAAAAGGCTCATTTTACTGAATGCAGATGAATGTCCTAGAGCAACAACCTGCTTTCCCAGTTACATGCAACTTGCTTTTACACTCAGTTCTGTACTTCATGTTGATGTCTTCCCTTTTCCTGATGTTTGTGATTTATGTTTTCTGTCACTCTTAAATTCAGATTCAAGTCATCTTGCAATGGAGCTGGGGAGAGGTCCCAAGAATTCATAGCTTCATAGCTACAGTTGTCAGTGTTTCATCCCTTCATTCTTTTATTCATTTTTAATTTGGATAAGGGTATGTTCATTTTACAAAGTATATGCTAGGCTATTTCTCAATACCCTCACTGTGTCCATCCTTCATTCAGGCCACAGTATATCACCCATCCATCTCTGACACACAAGCAGACACTCAGGGGCATGTCTTAAAAGCAGAGCAGGGTTGGACTCCCTCTGACCACTCTAGGGCTCCCCACCTCTCTCTGAATCACTGGTGGGAAGAATTGGGAATCTGGTATGGCACAATCCATCCTGGTTGGTCTCATCTACTTCTTAAGTACTTACTTGAATTGTATCTCTAACTTAGATGTTAGATATGTAAAAGGGATTAAGCAAAAAACAAACAAATGAACAAACAAAAAACTCATAGACACAGGCAACAGCATGGTGATTACCAGAGGGGAAGATAGCTAGGAGGAGGTAGAAGAGGGTATAGGGGTATAAATGGTGATGGAAGGAGAAAGAAACTTAAGAATTTGCTCTTTTTGTTCAGGAACTGAAATCAGAAAATAAATTTGGCTATGGTGCTTTAGAGAGATACCTCCACCTCTTTTGTACTCCCAGCACACTTTCTTCATGTTCTACCATTTATCATATCTCTTAATCATTATACCTCTTCCACTGGAATCTAATCCTAGAGGGTAGGGGTAAGTCTTATTAGCCCCCACATTGCAGCATTGTGACACATATAAACACTCATTAAAAGTCTGAATCAATAAATGAACAAAAAGTACATCCAGATATCACTATGCATTCGGGAAGCACAAATTAAAACTGTGATGAGATGCCACTACACACCTATTAGGGTGGCCAAAGTTTTACTATGACACTGTTCACAAAAAGGCTTCTAATAAATACCAAGCATTGCCCCACATTAAATGTTTGCCTCCGTAAATTCATCTATGCCTCTATAAATTTCCTCCCTTTTCAATTGGGTTTGATATGTCTCATTTCTCATTTAGAATCATGTTTGAATTTTGCTCTCAACCATTTTATATTTATTTAAATATAAGACTTTTTTTTTTAAATTCATCTTTATTGTTCATATTATTATAAAGTTTCCTCATTTCTTCCTCCCTCCACCAGGTTCCCACCCCACCCTCCGCCCCCTCCCCAACCCCCTTAGTCCTCATCCATAGGTGCACAGTTTATGTTCAGTCTCTTCCCACATCCACCACTCCCCCTTTCCCCAAGAACTGTAAATATAAGACTTTTTTTCAGTCCATAAAGAGATTTCTATTTGTATCCTATTAAGTTTGTTTCTATTATAATAAAAATGCTATTTGGGACTTTAAAATTTTCTTGATCTATTGGATGACATGTGCATGTGGTGAGAGATATGACAACTGGCAATTCTTAATAATGGCACCAGTCAGGGTGCTGGCAGGCAGTGATGATGCTCTTATAGGGGCCATTTAAAAAGAGTTATGTGGGAACGGTAGAGAGAAACCAAAAAGGAATAATAAGCACCTGGGAGCCGGTAGCAGAAGGGCATTCTCTACCCACCTGTGTCTCACAGGGCACGAGGAGGGAGGGGTTGCTGGAACCTGACAAGAGGTGTGGCTACAGAAGCTTCCAGGGGATGAGCATACCCAGGGTCAGACCTCCACCCAGCCAGCGGGAAGGAAGAAGGGAACAAGGGAAATAAATATCCTGAACTCCTCTCCCACTCCCTGTCCCCCTTCCTTTATCCAAACCCAAGTGGAAGAGAAGGGTGTGGGAGCCAATTGCAGTCCATAGACATCCATTTCCTGGCACACAGCTCAGTGGAGAGTGATCTGTAGGAGCAAACAGAAGGTACCCAGCAGAGGAGTCTGTTGGGGAAAATATTATCCCAAGTTAATTTTTCTTGGCCTTCAAATTTTGGTTTTTATCGGCATACTTAGCCCTGACCCCTTTGGTTCCAAGCACCTTTCTTCTCAGCACCCCTACTGGCAGTCCTGTTGCCACTGCTGGTGCTGTTGGTGGTAATGAGGTTGGTGGTATTGAGCTGGCCAGCCCGGGCCAGCTCATTCTATTGTGGGTCCCAAGATCTGACTAAGAACTTGAGGTGTAGACACCACAGTGACTGTGGAGTCCGCGTTTCCCATCAGGCAGTCTGAGGGGCGCTCTCCCTCACTCTCCCCTCCTCCTTTTCCAGGATGGAGCTTCAGCATGGGGTCGGCCTACCAGTTTCACAGTTGGCGTGTGTTCGTGATTGTCTGCGCCCTCCCCTGTGTCTGCTCGGTGGTGGCCCTCACCTTCATGCCGGAAAGCCCCCGGTTCCTATTGGAGGTAACCTTTGTTATTACTGATACTCAAGGAAGCCACATACGTTGGAGACAGTTGCTTGTTAATTCTAGAAAAGCATGTCTGCCTCTTGGGGAGGTATTTTTCCTTCCTTATGGGGAGGGTTTGGTGTGATGGGGACATGCTTCCAACAACCAGCATGTGAACAAGCTGCCTCGTGGCCAGAAAGCACTCATGTTCCTCCTCAAGCAGTTTACTCTTTGCTCAAAGAGGAGAACATGGCTATTGTTCTATAAATGAAAATTTACCATCCAGAGGTGTTATTTCTAGTGATAGACACATCCATTGAGCTGCTAAGGTATTCAAGGATATCCAAGTAGTCAGTATGTTCCAGTGGGACACACCTAAATGCATTTTCACAATTACACCAAATTTGATTTGGCAATTGAAGATGGTTATTAGAAAATCAGGGAGTGTGTTTCACCTCCAGCACTTCACTGTCTGCTCGCATTTGCTAGGTTGGAAAACATGATGAAGCTTGGATGATTCTGAAGTTAATTCATGACACTAATATGAGGGCACGGGGTCAGCCTGAGAAGGTCTTCACGGTGAGTACTGCTCCTCAGAGAATCATCTGTGCCAGGGGATAGGAAACTGCTTCTGAAAAGGCCAGATTGTAAATTCCTTTCTCAATGTAACCCCCATTCCTCATACTTGCCATGTTTACCTAAGCCTGTGCACTGCTGTTGTATGTGCTGTTCCCTCTGCATGAACATTCTTTGATTCTCTTGTTACAAAGTTTATTCTCAATGGGGAAACCAGTCTAATGAAAATTGGGTGCACAGAATTTTTAAAAGAGAACATGGTTTTTAAATCTTTTTTTATATATGCAGCATATAGTTAGGTGAAAAATGTTTTGTCTAAAATGGGTTTAATACATAAAGTAAGACAGAAGTGGGACAAAGGTAAGATCTTCAGTGTCATAAATGATATGAATTATAGTTCTTAAAATGTGAAATAGTCCCTAATTAAACAGTCCCCCTGTATCTAACCTATTTTATTTTTATTTAGGAAATATATTTTTCATGATGTAAAGATAGACTTCAGTCTGTCATCTATCCAATTATCATAGATTCTTCATTGGCAAAATTTGTGTGTAGTGTAATGGAGAAAGTAAGATCAGTAATGGAGGACTTGGAAGCTTTGAGGAGACAATTCTTTTCAGAGACACATAATAGAAGAAGGCTGTTTTTACATAAAAGAAACATGAAGCTGGAGGATTCTCAAGACTTTAGCTAGACACTGGGTACCACTTAATCCTTTACCAAAGACTTCTGGGAAAGTGTCTCTGTAGGGACTCATTGCCCTGCTTACCTGCTTTTCTTCCAGGAGGCTGGAGTTACCAAGTCCAGCCATGACCATTCATAATAGTATTATTATGTAAAATGGGAATAATGTGGGAATAATCCCCAAAAATGGATAATCTCAAAGTCATGTATATGTGACTTTCAAAAATCATTACACGATTTTACTTTTAAATATAAGACTGTCTTTCTTTTAGTCCATGAAGAGATTTCTATTTGTATCCCATTAAGCTTGTTCCTATTATAATAAAAATGCTATTGACAAATCTGCCTTTTCCCTTGTTATATCTACAATACAGTGAGTGTACATGGATTCCTTGCAGGTCTCCTCCTTACTCTCTTTTTCCTGTGCCCCACCCTTACATACTGTTTTACAGGGCTAATTTCAGCTAATTTTTCCTTTACACACTCTCCTTAGCTGATCTCATCTATTTCTGCGACTCTATCACCTAATGGACAAATCTCCTGAGCTCTAGACATGCATGCTGAAGGGCAATAGTGATGCTCCGAGGATAAAAGGTTGATGGGAAAGCTTTAAGAGCTATGGTTAGGGGCCAAATTCATCAAATAAGTAGGTTTCAAAGAAAAGTAGGTACAGTCACTATAGTCCAAGCAAATAATTCTTAATCCAGAAGCTGTCCTATCTGGATGTTTTATCTGCTAATGTGTGCCTTCACGGTGATGATTCCGAGAAAGGCCATTTTAGTTTCACACTATTCCATTACTACTTGCCCTTTACCTATTTCCCTATGGTATTCCTTCCCATTCATTCTTTATTCAGTTCTTTTAGGTGCCATTTGGGTCTGTGCACTTGCATCGTCAGTCTCATATATGTATGGAGTGATTATCAAATACCTGCTTTTTTGTTGGAGTCAGCTTCCGCTCCTTTAAAAACAAATGGTAGCCTTAACAGAGCGACATCAGAGAAGAGAACTCAGCCCTTTGCCCTCTGTTGATCTTTACAGGTAAACAGAATCAAAATCCCAAAACAAATAGATGAATTGATTGAAATTGAGAGTGACACAGGAACGTGGTACAAAAGGTGTTTCGTTCGGATCCACACAGAACTGTACGGAGTAAGTAACAAGCTTGTCTGAATTGTTGGCCAACTTGTATTTGAGGTTAGTCAGAAGCGGGGTTGACTGACCAGTTCCATGAATGGGTTTCTTCCCACTTCCGACACCTGACTTCTGGACTAGGACCAGGTAATAGGATCTCCTTGGGACCATCGGGGAAACTAAGATCTTTGGGAAGGGAAGGTGTCCGGTAGAGTCTTGGTAGTGCTGGGTAGCTTCAGGTACTTTGCTATTGACCTCAGGAAGCTGGTAAATGAAATTTCCAGTATTTAGTTTTCTCTAGCCTCTGGCTTTTACATTTTAAGTTCAAATGAATCCAGTTCTTTTAGGTGCCATTTGGGTCTGTACACTTGCATCGTCAGTCTCATATATGTATGGAAACACAACTTTTTAATAATTTGTTGGAGGGAGTGGGGATTGGGGAGTGGGGGTGACTAGATAGAAGTAAACTAACTCTCTAATATTTTACAGATTTGGTTGACTTTTAGGAGATGTTTCCACTACCCAGTTAGGGAAAATACAATAAAGCTTACAATCGTTTGGTTCACCCTGTCCTTTGGGTAAGTGATATTTAAATTCTTGGTGAGTGAAATCTTTATGTTTCCACATTATAATTCCTAGTCATGCTGCTTTCCTTTCTTACACTGTTTGATGCTGTTAACATTTAGGAAAAAATTTATCCAGATTATATTTGCTAACAGTTATGGTTCTATAATCCAGTCATTTCACTTATCATAAAGCTGTCCGGACAAAACCAATAGTATTTGGAAAGTCCAATAAAACCCTGATTGATTTGCCCTCCCCCTCCCCCCCATGACTTCTCCTCCCTCCTCTCCTCATGGGGTTGGCCCCAGCCACAACAGCCTCTTTGCTCTTCCTTGAACGTGCAAGAAAAATATCCTATACTTTCAGGTCAATAGGGTCTTCATGTCTGGTGGAGCCCCACATTTATGCTGTAAACTCCATGCCTTCACATCCTTAAACTAAAACAGGCAAGCGATCAGACATGACTGACCTTTCCCAGTGCTGTGAGTTGTAATAAGGAGACAAACAGGGAAAGGGGTGGTCAGGACACCTAGCCTCTTGTTCTACCTGTGAGCTGGGGGCATTACTGAGTTTTCATTTCTCATTTATAAGTTGAGAGGGTTGGTTTAGAATATATAAAGTCACTCCCACCCTATTAATCCATGAAAGATGAAAATCAGCAGGTATTAAGTGCCGCTGTGTGCTAAACACTAAGCTAGGTGTTAAGCCAGACAAAAGTTCTACTCTTAAGATGTGAAAAGCTACATGATAATAATTATCTGGTTTTTTTATTTTGTTTAACAATTTATTATTGACCACATTTTAAGCTTTATGATTTTCTTACTGATGTCCCCATCACCTCAAATAGTGTGTAGCATTTAGTGGATATTCAGTAAATGTTTACCAAATAAAAGAAAACTGAGCTAAAACTCCTCCATATCATTGATTACAGACACCAAAGGATAGCATGCCTTCCCAAGGTTGCTATTTTTAAAGTTTTTTATCTTCTATATATGACTGGAGACCAATGCTATAGATGTTGTATCTTTGAGTTACTTCTTATTCAGTGGCCACCACTCATACCCTCACAGTAATTTAATTAATGATCTATGAAGAGAAGAGGTTGGAATCTGGAATCCTAAGTCAATGATGTTTCCAGACTCCTGAAGACAATGATAATAAAGCTACACATACTGTCTTCTGAGCACTCCCTGTGGGCTAGGTACTTTGCATCCCATTTCATCTAAGCAACCACCCAGGAAGGTGGATGCTATCATCAGTCTGACATTAGAGACGATGTAACTGAGGCTTAGAGAACTGGCTGAAGATCACACAGCTGGTAAGTAGCAAGGCCAGGATTCAAACCTAGCATGTCTACCTGCAACATGATAAACTAGAGCAATGATCCTCAAACTGTAGTGTACCTCAGAAAAATTACCCGGAGGACTCCATCCCCTGAGTGTCTGATTCAGCAGGTCTGGATGGGGCCTGAGAGTTTGCATTTCTGACAAATTCCCAGGTAATGCTGATGCTGCTGGGCCAGGACCCCACTTTGGGAACCACTATTTTTCAGAGGATTGTTGTTCAGTAGAAACGTAATGTGAGCCACACGTGTCACTTTAAATTTTCTGGCAGCCACGCTATAAAAAAAGTAAAAGAAAACAGGTGAAATTCATTTTAATAATATATTTTATTTGACTCATTATGTCTAAAATGTTATCCTTTCAACATATAATCAACGCAACCATGATTAAAGACTTATTTTACATTCTTTTTTATTAGTCGTCCAATGTGATATTTTATATAGACAGCACATCTCAGTTTGGACTAGCCACATGTCAGCTGCTCAGTAGCCACACATGGTGGGTACTGAAGAGCACAGTGGTTACCCGTTGGAAAGACACATGTGAGGCCAAGAGGCAGAAAGTGGAAATAACCTGGGTTTTCAGATCATCGCCTGCATGGTCCTTTCCCAGCCTTGACCTGCTTTGAGAGATGGGGCTGTACCCTCAGGCTAGCAGTGGAAGGGGAGTGTGGGACCCAGAAAAGATTCTGCACTCATAAGAGAGGTCATTCTTTAAGGGCTCTTGCCGGTTTTGGACACCAGGTGTGTGGCAGACTAGGCGATGGGACTCCTCAGTGCAGCCTGGGGTGATGAGAAAGCTTCAGAACCAGCATGCCAGGTCTGGGTAGAGGGTGGAATTCTTATCCATGTCTCCTCCCAAAGCAGCGGCTTCATGAATTGTGTCCCTGGGATTCCCCAGGGAACCCTAGGCCATATGTTTAGGTTGATTTTTGCAGACTTCATCGTGGTGGAGAGAGAGCAGCACAGATGACAGGTGATGGTTCCTAATGTTTCAGGGCGCCGGTCATCATGCCTCTCTGGGAACCGTACCTCGCTGAGCCTGTCAGGGAGGCGGGTGTGCATTGCCTCTCGTGTGGAACCCTTACAAACTCCCCTTTCTCGGTCTTCGCAGGTACTATGGATTATCTGTTTGGTTCCCTGACGTCATTAAACACCTGCAATCAGATGAATATGCATTACGAACTAGAACTGTGCCAAGAGAGAAATATGCCAATTTCAGTATCAACTTTACAATGGAAAATCAGATCCATACCGGAATGGAATACTACAATGGCAGGTCCAGAAACTTTGAAATAACTTAGTGTACTAGCTTCACTGCATTGGCATATGTATAGTATTTTAGTTTTGTTTTGTTTTTTAATTTGTACATTTAGTCATTTCTGGCTGAATATGAATACTTCCAAACGGGCATTAAAGAAAAGGGATCTGTTACTTCACTTAAAACTACTTCTGAAACTGAGCTGCTTTGCATTTGTTAAGTAGTGGGATTGACTGTTATGAAATGAAAATTTAGAGAGACCCTGGAGAGAAAGGAAAATAATTTACAGAAGAGAAGAATGAAGAGTACGATAAAATAAAATGGGTTATACATTTATTTAATTCAAAGAATAAATCTGAAGTGTACTGGTAATTTGTTGCCTGTCTTCAATTCCTGAAAAAGGGGACCACTTTTCAGAATTCCTTTCTTTCTACATGATGCTGGATCAAAATTGAAGTTACATTGTATCAGGAAGTTTTAATTAGAAAATAGGAATGATTCTCCAAAGTTAGGGCTTTGACAATAAAGTATGTTATCAAAAGCTATTTTTGAAAATAGAATCTGGAATGCCTCTTGATGAGCACAGAGGACTGTCTCAAAAAGATTCTGGTTAATTCTTTCAGGAAAGCAAAGAGATGGACAAGGTCATTGTTTATAGCCATGATTTGTTGTCTTAGCAAAAATAATCACTCCTGTGAGTCCCAGTGGTTTACATCATTCTTAGGAAATGGTCCTAATTTCAAAAATGATAAAAGTGAAAAGCTAAAATAATCAAAGTTTCCTAGGGCAAAAAACCCTAGGAAACTTTGGAAAGATGAAAAAGAATTCTGTGGGAAGTTTGTGGTTTGCAGTGAAAAGGAGAATTGCCAGCAGAAGATAATTGTTTGAACTGACAATTCAAGGAGGGGCCTAATCCTAATGCCAATTCCAGCCACAGAGAACCACCTGCACTCTCGCACACGCATCCTGACTCAGAACTGTACTTGGTTCCCAAGAATCTGTAGAGTCAAGTGCTCTGTAATTCTAGACTGAAAATTTACTTAGTTTATTAAAAGAAAAAACACTCTTACTTGCCCTAGCCAGTTTGGATAGAGGAGAGGGTCCTAGATTTGATTCTAGTCAAGGGCATGCACCTTGGTTGCAGGCTTCTCCCCAGCCCAGGCACCTGGTTGGGCTTGTACAGGAGTCAATCGAAGTATTTCTCTCACATCAATATTTCTCTCTGTCTTTTCCTACCTCTTCCATTATCCTAAAAATCAGTGGGGAAAAAAATCCTCCAGTGAGGATTAAAAAAAAAAAAAATATATATATATATATATATATATATATATATATATATATATATATATACTGTTACTCCATTAGAAATTTCTAGAATGTTTCTATTTCTGAGTCATATTTTTAGTAATATTTGTTAAAATTCTAAGATGCGTATTTAGTCATGACTAAGAAATATTTTATATTAACAATATAATGATTAATAGTTTAATATTGATAGTACTAAAATCCTTATAAAATATATATTTATTTTAGAAGTGGTAGAATTTTTTTCAAGGAAATTTGAAATACCATTAGCTAACTCATTTAAAAAAAATAGCTTTCCTGTTCAGCATATAAATAGCACCTCTTTCTGCACTGATAGGGAATCCAAGGTAGACTACCAGGAGACAGAGCAAGCGGTAGAATAACGTGTCTCATTTGCTAGCACTTTTCATTAAGAATGCTCCTGGAGAGCACCCAAAAAAACAGCAGCCCAACAGGGCGGCCTGAGGAAAGATCGGAAAAAACTTACTTTCCCTTTTAAACATTTTTAATTTTGTTCCAGGTGTATTCTGGGTATATGCTACCCATTCAAAAAATTGTTTGCCCTTTCTAAATTCAGTTCCATTTCAGAAAAATTGATGATCTTAAAATGTATTTGTTATTTACCCTCCTTTAAGTGGGTAAATTTACAGTTTAGATGGTTTTTCTCTGGACTCCTAGAGCAGGGGATTGACATAGATTATTTTTTAAGCCGGTTGGTCTGTTACCGGTGTAGGGTGAGAACAATTTTGAAAGTGTTACCCAATAATTAGTGAATTGCTCCAGGACCAGTCCCTTTCTGACCCTAACAAGAGTGGCATTTAATATCAAAACCTCTTCTGTGGTTGAACAAGCAATTTCCTCCTGGTGACTGTATAAGTATATATTCATGGTCTCTTAATAAATTACTGAGACACTGTGGAATATTTATTCATGTCTCCTGAGATCCTTATCAACACAGACAGATCTGAGTCATAGACTCTTCTAAGATGTTAGGATCATTATGACTGTTATTATTTTTACTACCTAGAGTTTCCCCGTCAGCACCCAAAACTGTGTATGAGCAGGTTTCATCAAGCTACACATTTCCAAAAATAAGCAGAGCTCTCATCATTCTGTTTGGTTCAAGGAATAAACTGTTGGCTCTGAGAAGAGAAGTATTCTTGGAGTGACTGTGGCTCTGAGTTTCTTGACCCCTGAGTCAGTCATTCCTCATGTCCTTTCTTCAGGGTAATGCCTACACTGGAATGAAGAAACCGTGGGTTTTTTGCTTGGGTAGCAGACTCCCTTTAAAAGTGTGTGTGGGAGCACATCCTCCGGTTAGAGCCATAAACCCCAAATAGAGGATTTTCAAATAAAGCCATATGGGAAGGAACAAGAAGAGAGGATTGAAAAATAAAGAATTAATAGTCACAAGCAATCTCCAATTGCCTACCCCACAAAAAATATTTCACCAACATTGCAAAAAAGCTAAGTGAATGCCGTCTCTTCTTTGGATAGGAAACAATCTTGGCAAGTGATGGATAGCCAAGAAACATCTATCTTTGGATGAGGAAAAGGGGGAAAAACTAAGAGTTTAGAAAACCCAGAAACCAATGTTCTTTGCAATTAAGAGTGTCCACCGAACAGCAGCCCATCTCTAAACCTTCAAACCCTGATGGACAATCATTTATATGAATTTTGTGTGTGTGTGTGTTGTGCAGATTTCTCGGGGTCAAGTTCAAATCTGTAACTTTCAAGGATTCGCTTTTTAAGGCCTGCACTTTTGAGGACGTGACTTCAGTCAACACCTACTTCAAGAACTGCACATTTATTGACACTGTTTTTGACCACACGGGTAGGTATGCTATTTAGTCCTGCTGAGGCCTCTTCAGAGGGCCTGGCACTGGGCAGAAATGAGACACGCATGTCACAGTGTGGGCAGAGACTTAAGAGGGAAATGGAGATTAAAGTATAAATTAACAGATAATTTAATCAGGTTGGATCAAAGTTGGGTGTGTATTATTTGTGTTTGTCAGATGTAATACAAATGGGACTTGCAGAAGTTCAAAGCTGAAAAATAAATGACTTGGTGCATAATTTTTAAAGCAAAGCTGTAGTTTATTTGTTTTGATAATCTTGGCTTCTAAATCTGGTGTTTCTTTATGTCATCATATCTGAACTACAGTCAGCAGAGAAGAGCAAACATATGGCTGATTCATACATATTTTGAACAAATTGTTTTTGATAATTGTTGTATGGAAGCTATTAGCCCTATAAAGATAGTCCTTCTAAAACATGATAATTAGAACAAACTAAACATCACAAAGGAGTAAACAAGTAACAAAATTAGCAACGGCTAATCAAAAGAAATCAGAGGATAACTGGATTCTTTAATTTAGCTTATTCCTTTTTCAATAAATATAATCCTTCATTCTGCAGTTGTGCCTCAGTACCATAGGGATTGGTTCCAGAACCCCATGGATACCAATATCCATGAATGCTCAAGCCCTGTATATAAAACCATAGGCCTGGTGCATGAATTCGTGCATGGGTGGGTTCTCTCGGCCTGGCTGGTGATCAGGGCTGATTGGGGCTGGCCAGCCAAGGGAGGGACAGCGGGAGGTTCGCAGGCCACGGGAGGTCGGCTGTGGGAGCAACTGACCACCGAGGGCAGCTCCTACTTTGAGGGTCTACCCCCTAGCGGGCAGTGCATGTCATAGTGACCAGTTAACCAGTATTCAGTCATTCAGTTGCTTAGGCTTTTAGATAGATAGATAGATAGATAGATAGATAGATAGATAGATAGATGATAGATAGATAGATAGATAGATAGATAGATACTGTAGTATTTGCATAACCTCTGCACATCCTCTGTGCACTTAAATCATCTCTAGATTACTCATAATATCTAATACAGTGTAAATACTATATAAATAGTCATTATACTGTATTGTTAGGGAATGACTATAAGAAAAACCATCGGTACATGTTCAGTACAAATGCATCCATCATGGGCCTCACAATACAGTGCACATCAGCAACGACATTCCTTTTATTTTTTTCCAATCCACAGAGGTGGAATCCGTGCACAAGGAGGGCCAACCATACTTTGTAATGTAAAGTCCAAGACCTTGCACTTTGTCCAGGCAAAGACACTAAACGTCAACCCAGCCCAGGCCTTGAAGCGCTCAAGAAGATTAGAGTATCACAGGATTCCTTTCTGTGTTCTCGTAGGCTTTCTTATCTTGGTGTATAACTGTTAAGAAGTTGATGAATTATCTTTATGTTCACAGATTTCGAGGAGTATAAATTCATTGACAGTGAATTTCAAAACTGCTCCTTTTTTCACAATAAAACGGGATGCCAGATTACCTTTGATGATGACTACAGTGCCTACTGGATTTATTTTGTCAACTTCCTGGGAACATTGGCGGTGTTACCAGGGAACATCGTGTCTGCTCTCCTGATGGACAGAATTGGGCGCTTGACGATGCTGGGTAAGTGCTTCGTTTCCTGTAAAATAAAGGAGCTGCCCTGCCATCTAGAGGGAGCCCACCTTCCATGTCCCCTCCACCCTCTTAGTGATTTGCATCCCACAGAGGTGAGAGAAATCCCTTCAGACCTTTCATTAAGACAACATCTTAGTGAAAATTATGTCTAATTACATTTCATGTGAGCAGCTTCCTTGAGTTCACAGCCTAGGAAACTATATAGTTATGTGTGACTAACGTATATCTTCCCACTTAAATAGCTGAATAATTGATGAGCATTTCATGCTTGCTGTGTTTAGAAGGCAGGTAAAGGGGCAACCCTTTCATCCAGGGGAGGAAACCTGCACCTGAGCCTTGCCATATCCAGTCTGCAGCTTCCCCTTGGGGGTCTGTGTCACTGTTCAAAGACCTTAAAGACTCAAGGGTCTTTGCTCTACCAAGATGAGGGGAAACATCCCAGGCTTTTGTCTGCTTCCTTGGCAGGTGGCTCTATGGTGCTTTCGGGGATTAGCTGTTTCTTCCTTTGGTTTGGCACCAGCGAATCCATGATGATAGGTATGCTGTGTCTGTACAACGGGTTGACCATCTCGGCCTGGAACTCTCTGGATGTAATCACTGTGGAACTGTACCCCACAGACCGGAGGTATGTTGAAATGGGTGTCTGGGAAAAGGTGCTCTGAGCCCCACAGGACCATTGAAAGTCACAGAAAATATGCCAAATTGTCGTGTTTCCAAGAAAGTAAAACTCCAAAAATATCTGGCATATGAAGTTAAAAGGAAAGTGCTGGGGAATATAGTTGCTAGCGGGAGTTAATAGGACAGTTATTACTGGCAATTTGGCCTCCCGGTTCTTGACTTTGTGCAGGAAAAATTTCACAACACAAGTCCAGGTGATTTTGAGAGAACCTTTATTAAAGGTGGGGACAGAGACAAGATCTTAGCAACAGGAGTGAGCCTAGGCGGAGACTCCTTGGCCCTTTGGAAATGTGAGGAATAGTGGAGCCTCGTGCGGCTGCGTTGGCCCTTTAGAAATAGAGTCACAGAGGCAGAAGTGAGCCCGCTGGGTTGTGTGGACTCAGAAAAAAATTACTGAGGCAAAAGAAGGGCCTTTGGAAAAAAGAAAGCAAAGAGGAAGGCAGGAAAGAGGAGGCAAGAGGAAGCAAGAAAGTGCTCTAGAGGGAGTGCACACTCATGCATGCTTAGTCCTTTCTCTATTAATATAAGCAGGAATTTGGGGGGAGGTCCCAGGGAAGGATCTCAATAGAATATTCATCAGCCTTCCAGGTGTGTCCTTTCTGGGTTGTGATTGGTCGGTGCTAAGGCAGGGTGTCATTAGTCAGTGCAGCCCTGTCCTGATGTCAGCCATGGCCTGGCTTCATCTGGTTTCGCTGCTTTTCTGGGCCTGGAGCTGAAACACAACTGAGGCCTAGATGTTATCTCTAATTTGACCAAAACTCTGTCTCTGGGGTCAACACACCCGAGGCTTTGTTCCTAAGATTACTTGGTGCTGATCAGAACCTCATTGTTCTTAGGGATTAATGCTTAGGGGAGTGGTCGTTGGAGAGAGAAGGAGGCAGAGAGTCAGGGTGCTGGATGAGGCCAGTTTGAATCCGCCACCTGTCAGTTTCTCCATTCCACTCACCAAGGAATTCTCCTGGCTTCTTACTCTCCTGCCTCTCACTGAAGCCAGTGAGGGAATGTAATGGTGCCCATGACTCGGTTTGCTGACTAAGAGTGTGAGGAAGCTGTAATGGGTCTGTGAGGAATAGGATCAAAAAGCCTGTCTTGGCCCACATTTGGAGCCAGTACTCAGTCCTGAGAGGGTCCTAATGTTTGAAGTGTCTGCATGAGCTCTACAGTTAGGATCCCCAAAGACATCTCTAGAATTATCTCTTGACCTTCCTGGTCTGTTGGAGGAAAAGCCCAACACACATTTCCAGTTACCAAAAGAGATTGCTATTAGAAGGAAAAGATGCATCTTGTCCCAAAATGGAGACCCGGAGACTTTGTACCTTATATCAGAGAAAGGGCTAGAAGGGATTCGGGGTAGGGCTTCAGCAGCTGAGTAGTTAAAAGAATAGAAGTCCTGCATTGCTGTTTGACATGTGTGAAGACAAATGCTCTTGCCTTCTTTTATTCCGCGTGTGCTCTGTCACCATGGAAGCCCTTTCTGCGAGAGGGTAGAGTCAGTATTGTCTGGGCTTTGAAATGGAGGAGGGTTTTCTTGGGCTGAGCAGAGACATTTGGGATATCCATTTTCATCTGTTGTTGGAAAGGTGAATTGTCAGCTGAGATAAAAACAGAAATTGCTGTTGATGTTAGCTCAGGCCTTCCAAGACACAGAGGTCAAGATGGGCCTAAGCATGCACAGAGGTGATTAGGGGAAGCTCCCATGTGAGAGAAAATGGGAGAAGTGAAGTCTTGGACCTGCAATGGAGGTCTGAGCCCTAGCGAAGGCGCAAGGGTGGGTGGATAAGGTTTCACCTTCTTTACCTTCTCCATCAACAGTGTGGAGGAGACCAGAGTTCAGGGGCAGGCGCTGCCAGGAATAGCTGGGTAACTTTAGGTTAGTCCTGTCACTTTTCTGGGGCTTGGCCTCCCCATCTGAGAAATGGAGGGTGAGTCAGGCACTCTACTGAGTCTGTAAATGGCCTCATTTAGCCTGATTTACCCTTACTCAGCCTTACAAGGGTAGGTAGTTTTATTCCATTTTCAGGTTACTAGACAGGGCTCATAACTTGGCTTGGATCACATAGCTTCAAACTCCGACTCTGTGGTGCTGCTTCTGATACAGACAAACCTATCCCCTCCCAGTAGGTCCGAGGTGAAAGTCAAGGGATTTGTTTCTAGGAAGCCCACCTGGCAGCTGGGATAGACAGCCACGTTCGTGAACCTTGGCCTTAAATGAACTGCAAGTTGCCTCCCAATGGTCACTTTCATTCCATCATTACTTACCTTGGCCCAGGCCCTCACTTCCAAGCTAGGTTTACCAGATAAGTGATAAGACACAAAGGCTTTCATTATCACCTGTCCATGAATATTTGCATTTCAACGGGAATGAACACTGGGAGGATCTGGGATGGTGGCGGGGATGGGAGGCAGATGGAGGGCTGCTTTGAGCCCAGAGGTTCCTCCCAGCAGACAGGTGAGGCCTTCTCCACTTACCTGTGAGTAAGGAGGATCTTGCTTGCAGTGGTGACGGATGCCATCCTCCTAGGTCAAGGAGGACACACGCAGGCTGCACACATAACATACGGCTACTGAATACTTAGGTGAGATAAATGTCCCCTTTCTCTGAGGATCAGAAAACAATTCAGCCTTTTCTGACTTAAGATATAAAATTATATTTTTTTTCCTCTGAAAAAAAACAAGATGATAGTCTGGCAACAATAAACAAATATGGCCCAACTAGTGCCCATTAAAATGTCCATTACAGAAAACTACTTCCAACCCATTTTTTAAAATATACTTTTATTGATATCAGAGAGGAAGAGAGAGGGATAGAGAGAGAAACATCAACAATGAGAGGGAATCATCAATAAAGCCTGCAAATAGGGTATGTGCCCCAACCAGGAATTGAACAATGACCTCCTTGTTCATAGGTCAACACTCAACCACTAAGCAATATCAACTGGGCTACTCTAACCTATTTTAAAGATATCGGGAAATTCCTTAGTTCATTTCAGTGTCATATGCATCCCTGTGCCAGTCCCAAAGGAGTTGTGCTGAGTGAATGTAAAAACTAAAGGCCCCGTTCCAAAGATGTGGCCGGGACCTAGCTGAGGCTAACTCCGGTCAGGGCGCCCTGCCATTGACACAAGCCAGTTCTAAGGGGAGCAGAAATGGGGCCTGGCCCAGTAGGGAGGTCTCCAGGGCTGTCCCAGTCCAATATACAGCTACTGAATAAGGGTTGAAAGAGAAGGAAAGGTTCAGGATGGGTGAGACACTGTCTCTGGTGCCAATGAGCTGATAAAGCAGGACACACACGGGCACACGCACATGCACACACACACACACACACACACACACACACAGGAGAGGTTAAAGAGCAGGGCAAAGAGGGAGGGAGGAGAAGAAAGAGGCTGGTAAGGCGTTTGTACTGGATTCCTCTCCTGCAGCCACAGCACCACATCATAAACATTCCCCTGGCTATGCGACACCTCCGGACCTTCCCTCACAAACACATCCCAGCCAAGGAGGGCTTATATGTGAAGGTGTTTGCCGTGACATCGTTTATGTCCCCCCAAGTTTGGAAAGCTCCTAAATATCCAGCAATGTGGTTGCAGAAATAATGGTTATATGTGAAATCACAAAACATAAATGACAGGGGACAAATGGTTATATTACTGAATAGAAAAGACAGAATGCAAAATTCTATAATTTCTGTGATTTATAAAAATATGGCTGATTGGAAGCACACCAAAGGGAATTTGGAAATGGAAACCATTTGTAGGAGGGGTGGAGCGGATGTCTTGCTTTTATAATTTCCTGTAGTATGTACCAGTAAATCCAAGTCAATTCAAAAATGCAGATGTCTCTGCGAGACTGCAGGGCTCTCAGCCCTGGGCACCCCAAGTTGAGAACAGCTGCATGAGGAAGTGGGAGACTTGTCTGGGGACTGGAGGCAGGCCAGGCCATCTGGCACCTGAGAAGCCATTGGGGGGATGTCTAAGGCAGCCTGAGTGGGGTGCCACACAGATAAGTCAGGAAGATGTGAAGATATTTTGAGGCAGAGAACACCTCTGCCCACATTCCATCCATCACTTGGTAAGCTCCTCCTCTTCCTTCAACCCATTCTCTTCTATCCATCCCCTCTAAGAGGCCTTCCCTCACTTGCCCCCACCCCAGCCTGGGGTCACTTCCCATCCCCTGGCCCCATCATTCTCTGGGTGTATTTATCGCTGCACTTAATAGGTTGTGTTATCATGAGGTTGTGTTACCATGATCTCTTTATATCTGTCTAGTGCCAATGGGCACTTCATCTTGGGATCCCTGGTGCCTAGTGCCTTACTGAAACAAAATATGCTAATGAGTGATTGCTCCCCCTCCCTTCCTCACTTCCATTCTCTCCGAAAATCAATGGGAAAATTTCCTTGGGTGAGGATTAACAAACACACACACACACATAAATAACGTTTTTAGGTTGATCCAAGACCTAGTCATCATTTCTAATATTGTTTCTGTGGGAGAAATTAAATTTATTCTGTGTTTCAAATAGCCCATTTCCAGATGAGCCTTTAGATCATGATGTATTCCTGATTTAGGGACTGCCTGTACGTTCCAAAATGCCCCATGCTGAGGCACTTCCACCAATGATTGGACCCAGGGAAAGTTCCTTTCCAAAGCTTGGACTAGAAAAAGAGAATGCTCACATCTTACCCTTTAATGGAAAAGTCCCATGAGCTCGATCTGGATCTCCACCATTTCAGCCCTTTACAGAATCTAGCATTTTATTCCCCCGCTAACAATGTCCTCAGTCGATGGGGTAGATATTTCAGCCAATGTTTAAAACATGGCTGACACTCACTGCCGGAGTGCTGCCTTAGTTAGCGTCCCTGTCTGCTTCCCAGGAGCCTCATCAGACCCCAGCTGACCCTGCCCTGAAGTCAGAAAAGCAAAAAGAAAGAGGCTGGCCCAAACTGCTTTGGCTCAATGGATAGAGAGTCAGCCTATGGACTCAAGGGTCCCAGGTTCAATTCTGGTCAAGGGCATGTACCTTGGCTGCGGGCACATCCCCAGTTGAGGGTGTGCAGGAGGCAGCTGGTCGATGTTTCTCTCTCATTGATGTTTCTAATTCTCTATCCCTCTCCCTTCCTCTCTGTAAAAACTCAATAAAATATATTTAAAAAAGAAAGAGGCTGGATGGGAGGGCAAAACTACCTCATCTTATTCAGAATGGAGTCTCCTTTCCTCAGTCACCAATTAGTACATACAATTATATAAATGAGCTAAAACTTGCTACATTTGGAAGGCCCTAAAGAAAGAGCCACAATCCAGCTGCAGAGGGAGGAAGCTCTGGTGGCCACACCCCACATCAGCGGAGCAAAAGCCATGCGGGCACCAGCACTGGATTCTCAGACAGAGGGAATTAATGGTGCAGGGAAAGGGCCGCCTTCATGGAACCAGGAACAAACCAGGCTGCTGCCATCACACGGTACTGTTTGGGGGGAATTTTTCCATTTAAAAGATTAAATAAATAGGTTGAGCAATAACTGAAAACAAAGGATCTGGCTGAAGAGGAGGAGGAACAAGGTTAGCGCTTATAGAAAGGTAACAGATCATTTCATTCTTTCTGTGCTTGTTGATTAAGAGGAGTTTTGGGGCATTTGGGGACTGACCAAAGATGCGGTAACTTGCCTGGCTGCTAAGTTAGCAAGCAGGGCCCTGCAAGTTCTGAGCTCCCTACCCTCAAAGGCCGTTAGGAGCACAAGGAGACTTGTTTTTTGAGTGTCTGCAGAAGTTAATGCCTTTCCTTGAAGTAAGAACAAGGGGATGAATAAGCTAGAAGCTTCTTTGCTTGGTAAACAGACTAGAGGTCTGGTGCACAAAATTTGTGCATGGGTAGGGTTCCTAGGCCTGGCCAGTGATCAGGGCTGATCTGTGGGGCAACTGGCGGGGTGGTTGTGGCACCTGCCTTGGTTGGCCTGGGGCCTGCAGGCTGGGGGCAGCTCCTGCATTGAACATCTGCCCCCCAGTTGTCACTGTACATCATAGCGACCAGTCGTTGTGCTAGTTGTTCTGCTCTTTGGTTGATTTGCATATTAGGGTTTTATTATATAGGTTAAATCCCCAAGGGAGAGCCACTTTGAGAATAATTTTTCTAAGATAGCTGAGCCTACAGTGCATAGAAAATCACACCCTCCAGTATTTGAAGAAATAATTTACTTATTCAAGGAAAGGACAGTCACATTTTCTTGAATGCTCCATTGATTAAAGGAGGCAATATGCTTTGCACCCATATCTGAAGAACCACCTCTGCTTGGTAAATGAAAAAGGATCCTATCATGATGTTTTAGATGCTTCAGATACCAGATGCTCCTGATGCGTCACTCTTAATCCTGCATGGAAATCTCAGAAGCCATCCTTCCCTCCATCACAGCTTCAGTGATACAAGGAGATAGCCATCTGTATTTCACACCCTGTTCTGAGTTATACCAGGGGTTTACTCTAACACAGATGTAAATTCCACATGGGTCATTCCTCAGGCTCAGTGTTGAGAGACTTCTTCATACAGAAGAATGTTTTTGCTTTCTTACCAGCAACATACTTACCATACTGACTACTCAATTTTTTTCCACAACAATATAGCTTATCTTGCTACCACAAAATGTACTTGGTCATTTATGATCTGAAAATATAGTTTAAAAAGTGAAAGAAGTCCATTGAAAAGGCTATGATTCCAATTATATGACATTTTGGAAAAGGCAAAACTATGGCGATGGTAAAAAGATCAGCAGTTGCCAGGGACTAGGGGGCTGGAGGGATGAATGGGGGGAGCACAGAGGATTTTTACAGCAGTGAGACTGTTATTCTGTATGATGCAATAATGGTGGGTACATGCCATCATACATTGATCAAAGCTCGTAGGATACACAACATCCAGAGTGAACTCTAATGTATGGCTCATCAATTATAACAATTGTACCATACTAATAGGGGAAACTGGGGTGGGAGGGGACAAAAGGGGTGCTACTCTCTTTACTTTTTCCATCAAACTAAAACTGCTCAAAAAAAGTATTATTATTATTATTATTATTATTATTATTATTTAGAATAGTGCCTGGCACTTAGCACTATTGAATAATTTATTGAATACATATATACAATTTCCCTGATGGGGAGTCAAAAGTCCCAGTTAATGGGACTAAAAAAGTCTATTTATTAAAACTTCAGCCTCATGGCATCATCTTCATGGACATGGAGGAGGCGGTGAGTGATGTTATTATGCTCTGGAGGCCAGCATACAGCCTCCAGCAATTTCATTTGGCAAAAAAAAAAAAGTTATCAGTATATTGAATCTTCTTATCTTTCTGTTGGTGGTGGTTACTAGTCTCTTTCTTTAAAAACAAGGCAAAAAGAAAAAGAATACCAAAGTAGCTTACCTCATCTCAAGAAGTTCCTGTTCTCTCAGTTAGAGAGTCCGTTACGCCCCTTCCTCACTCTCCTTTTTAGTGCTGCTGCCCTAGCTTAGGCCTGTCTGCTCTAACAGCCAAGTCTCTGGCCCTGCACTCACTCGCAGGCTGGTTTTTCCCTGTGGTGTGGGAAGGGGGGTGGTTGGATAACCTCAATCAATATCCACACATTGAAGAAAATACCTCGAGGAAAAGCACAAGTACTGATGAGGACTTGTTATGACTGGCCAGAGGAAAACCCACTCTTAAAAATTTACAATCGAAGATAGCTGTGTACTAAATGCTGCATTTTGCAGCATATGAAATGCATTTCCCTCTGGTGGGGAAAAAAAAATGTATCTAACAATGACCCTGCATTCAATGTGCCCTTAGCACGTGTGTACCCAGTGACAGACACAAAGCTGAACTGGCATAAAGCTGGGGAAATTCATATCACCTCATGATGTCAGTGGTTCCAGTGCTCTCGTGAACAAAACTAAGCCTCCTCCCAGGAGACGACAGTAAAATCACACTCAACACACATAAAGAAGTACAGGTTTTCTTTGCCAAAGACGGCCTTAAGGAATGGGCTGTGTCTTAGTGATATACCACCTGTGCCCCTTAAATGCCAGCAGAGTGAGCAAGATCTCCAGGCCCACCATCTGAGTCTCCTCTGTCATTCTTCTTGGGCTCGACTTCCCGCCTGGAAGTCTGATGAAGCTGTGAGAACTGTGTCACCTGCTCGCGGACAGACCGCCCCCTCAGTGTTCAGCTTCCGCTAGCCACCAAAAGCAATTGGGAAAAGACCAGGAGAGTTCACCTCCAGGGTACCAGGAAGATGGAGCATGCAATCCAGTCATCCCTGGTTTTCTCTGAAAATAGGCTTCCATTATTTAAAACCTCACACATTAATTAAACCAGGGGGGGGAAATAGGGAGTAAAAAAAATTTTTTTAAATACATCGTCATACATTTTTATTTAAGTCTGAAAGAGAGTAGAAACTTTTCTGACACCCTGAAATGTTTTCTTGGTGAATTGGAACTGATGGGCAGAATGAAATCAGTGGAGAGAAAGTGCGTAGAGGGCTGAAGGAACAGTACCAACAGCTGGGGTTCTCCATCTCCAGATGTGCTCACAAGCATTTAGTTATTCTCTCTAATGGTACACCAACCATGGAGATCCCTGGGAAGTACCTTATGGAACACCTGTGTCTAAAGTCGGAATCTTGGACGTCACTTTCTCAACCTTGTCCGTGTTTCCTTCCTTCGCAGGGCAACAGGCTTTGGCTTCTTGAACGCACTCTGCAAAGCTGCCGCCGTCCTTGGGAACTTAATATTCGGCTCCCTGGTCAGCATCACCAAAGCAATCCCCATCCTGCTGGCCTCCACCGTGCTCGTGTGTGGAGGCCTGGTGGGGTTCCGCCTGCCTGACTCACAAACCCAGGTCCTGATGTAACGGGAAAAAAGCCATCCCTCCGCCTGTGTTTCTTTCTCCTGCCCTGTGTCATCTCTCCTGACCGACTCAACACTTCAGATTTTTTCAGATATAAAAGGTGGTCAAATGTCAGAACACGAACTCTTGCTGCGACTAAAATTTAGATGCATACCATCGTGCCCCTTAAATGTGATTTTGCAGAGGGTTTGGGTTTAGTTTTGTTTTTCATGCATCGTTATCTTTCCTGACGACCGCTACTGCCTCCCCAAATTCTAGTGGAAGCATTTTTTCAAATGTCCTGGTCAGCCGGGCCTCTCTGAGGTTCTCTCGCTGCAGGCCTGGGAGCTAAGATGAGGACTGTGTTGCTATAAGAAATAGATCCTGCTCCCAGTTCAACATTCACAGGAAGTATAAGTTGGCATATTATTGCATTTGTGCTGAGGAGAGGGGTTCTTTTTTTTCTCGTTTTTTTTTTCCAAACAGAGTGACATTTCCTGTTTACTTAGAAAAGGACACCCAGCAATTCTAGCTGTAACAGCAGAGCCTTTCAAAGAAAACCATGTGGTACCAAACAGGGCTGGGTGGGGCTCTTTCAGGAGCGACAATTAAGGTGGCTCTGCTGACAAGAAAAATAAAGGCTCTGCAGTGAGCAGCCCAGGTCTGCCTGAGCTGCAAAAGCAAGGTTTCTTCCAGAAAACCCTGTTCATGCTGAAAATGTGAGGAAAGTGTGTCTGTGATTGTGGCATGAGGTTCAGAATGTTAGAAAATGAGAGAGAGAGAGGGAGATCTTTGGCCTCCACTCCCCCTTCCTCCCCCTGCCCCAGCCATGTATCTTGCCAGAAAACAGATTCAGGAAAAGAAAGCCTCTTTCTAAACATTGGGTCTGCCTACCTGATTCTGCCATTCATCCAAGCTGTTTCTAGTCTAGAGACTGCCAGGCATCTGCGTTGTTGTAAATTTTAAATCAGGGAGACTTTCACACCTAAAGCCATTTGGAAATGCAAAGTGATACCTGGAGGGACAGGAGCCCCAGTGTTTGACATTGGACTCCATAGCTGGCTTCCCGAAGCAGGTCCCAGCTTCTGTCTTCCCCGGGGCCGGGGCACGGGCCAGGGTGTTGTGTGTGGGATCGCAGCCTGACGGGCCCCAGGGGCCCTCTGGCAGGCACGGCAGCCTCTCCCAGCCGTGTGCGGCTGCTCGTTTTATCGTTTTATCGGCGCAGCCTGCCTGGGCCTGGAAGAGAGAGGTCAGCAGGACATTCCCACGGGCTGTCAGCTCTGTGACCTCCTCACCCATCAGGCCTGCCCCTTCTCCAAGCTCATGCTTTTTGCTCATCTTCTTTGAAATCTGAAGCCGTCTTGTAGACAGGCGGCAGTGACCAGAAGCCAGGAATAGATGCCGTATTAAAACAATATTCCTTTTTTTAACTCTCTCTTTCTTGTGAGAGGATTACCTCTTACTTATTATAGGCGTTTCCAGCAGGCCTCAGCCTCGCTAAGGAGAGCCTTTGTTTCCAATAGTCATTGCATTCAAAGCTGTCTTAACCCCAGAGGCCCCTCTGCTCCCCCTCCCACCCTAATGATCCTGGTCGAGCTCCAGACTGCGGAGTGCAGACTCCCTGAAAAGCTCCTTTCATTAACATAAGCCATTAATCGACTCCCCCTTGAAGTAATTCTGGTCTGGAGGGGGGAGGGGCAGCCGGGGGTTGGGGCTGGCAGGAAGAGGGTGGTTCCCTGGGGACCCAGCTTAGGGCCAGAACGTCAGGAAAACTCAAACCAAAAACTGCTAAGGTGGCTGGCAGAAGGAAAATCAATAAAGCCTAAATGAGATCTATTGGACCGATAGCAGCATGGCCGGGAAGGAAACAGGACTCGCTCTCAGGTCTGCCTGTTGTCATATTGCCGGAGAACAAAGACGGCAGTCACAAACCAAGAAGGGACCCTGTGTGTTACTCTTCTTCCGTGTGGACTTGCTTCTCCTCCTCTCCACCCCTTGATTTCTCTTCTTGGAAAGGACATATCTGGGGACCGGAGCAGGAGTATCTTTGCTTTTTGGTTTTTTGTTTGTTTGTTTGTTTGTTTGTTTAGTTGCATGTAGCCTGTGTGGCAATAACAGCAAAAGAAAGATGTGTGTCCTCCATTCACTAATTCAAAAGAAAAGCAGAAGTGTGCATGGATGCCATACTCTTGTCTTCTGTGATCCCTGACTCTGCTTGCTGGACTGCCTTTCCTTTCAGAAAGATCTCCCACGTCCACTGTAGCTCTGAGTGCATAAACCGTCTCCCAGGCTGCGGAGCTCCGTTTACAGGGAATTTTATAGGAACGCTGGGTTGGGTCAGAATAAGGTAAACCAGCAGAACCCCACGGGCCATGAGACCGGCCGTCATACATCCCCTTCCGAAGGGCCTTTCTCGGCCTTCGTGTCACCTAACCCAAGCCTCCCAGAGGGATCTGTTCTAATCTCCTGGACAGTCAGTGGTCACAAACCTTCTTGGTCACCACCTTTTCCACCTTTCCTGCAGTTTTCTCTGCCTCCCGCTGTTCCCACCACCAGGATTATCTAGGAGAGCTCAGGTTCTTCCCAAAGTATGTGGTGTGGCCTGTCCGGCTTGTTCTGGGGTTAGCCAGATTAAGATAGAGCCATGCGATGAAACAGAAACTCTCCATTCTAGCAATGTAGGAGACTGCTGGCTTATAGACACACACCCAGCACCTCATTTCAGCTACAACAGAAGGAAAGTGAGAGTGTGTGCGAAAGCAAAGGTCCTGGAAACAGCCCCACTTGCTCCTCTTTTTCTAACTCCTTTTCTACCTAAAGTTTCCTCATAGCTGTTTGGAACCAATCCAGAATGTGCCTGAACCCTATTATTACTGCTGGGTCCTCACGGTAGGAAAGAAAACCCAGCTGCTCCAAACTGTAAATCCTGTACCACGTTACAGCCCCAGCTCCCAGGCAGGCCTGTGCCTTGGAAGCCAAACCCAGCATCCAGGCGTCTTCTTAGGTCCAGAGTGCCTGCCCTGGGAGATAAGATAGGTGGGTCCTAGCCCCACTCCACCACTAACCAATAGTGAGATCCAGATCTTGCTGGGGAGAATGTTAGTCATCGAACATTCCCTGTCTATAGAGTAAAGGATTGGGACTATTTTAGGATTCTGGAGAATCTGCCTGAAAAGGGGGATTATCTACCTTTCGATGATAAACTCATCGTTATAAACACCAAGTAGGTTCAAATTAGAAACTAAAACAGTGGGAAATAGGCATGTATACAAGAGTTCAAGGAGTTGTTTGGAAGCCCTGGTGAATGGGCAGAGAACATAAGTCTCATGTGGTTTGTGCTTCCTGCCTGGTAGGATCTGGAGCGTTATCTCGATTTAATGCTGGTTCCACCCTTATCTCTGCCCAGGGAAGGACCCACCCTGTCAGGCAGATGACTCTCCAGTCACACTGCTATCGCAGAGGCTGTGTCCTATAGTTACCTCTTCCCACTTCTCACTTTATTCTTAAAACTTTGTCTAAGTAGATCTAGGCCTTCAGAAACAAAGTTATTAAGTGATTTCACCTAAGTTGGCAACTATACCTTCACTTACAAATCTCACCAAATCGGAATTCAGGATTATGCCCCAAAATGACTGAGCTGCTTTTCTGGATGTCTTGAGATAACAAGGGAGAGGTGGGGAAAGAAGCGTAGTGACGAAGGGAGAGTCTAAGGTATCATAGAGAAGGTTCCAGTGAAGGAGTAGGGCATCCCTGAGACTTTCTGAACCCTGGGACCTTTTCAAAAGCTTCTCATGGGAATACCCTCTGAGTCCCTCGGCCAAAATAGAATGTGATAGTCTCTTGGTTTTTTTCTATTCAATATCAAAACGGCCTTTCCCTAGATCTTCACTAAAACGCCTCACCTGTTTGTGTGCTAAAGGCTCTGAAACCAGGGACGTCTGAATTTGGCCTTTACCTGGTATACCGAAAGACAGCTGATTGGTTGTTTAGGTGCTTATTGGCTATGAAATTGGTTTTCCTTTAACCACTATATCATGTTGAACTTAGTCCAGCTACCAAACCCACGGAAATGCCAGTCACGTTGCGACAGCAAAAAGCAATCTACACAGTGGGACACTCTAAAGTAGGGGTGTCGAACTCAATCAGAGAAGGGGCCAAAATCTAAAATCCAGCCTAAATCGCGGGCCGAATGGTTTACTGAACAGTCATAAACTGTCATTGTGATGGAAACGCAGTGGAGTGCAGTGATGACAGCGCGGTGCGGGCCACATTGCAAGGCCTGGCGGGACGGATTTGGCCCGCGGGCCTTGTGTTTGACACGTGCTCTAAAGGGAACTGTGTATTTCTTACAGTGTTTGTTCCTGCCAAGCAAAGTACGTTTTGAGTAAAGCTTCCCTCTCAATCTGTGTAATGTAGACAAAAGAAAGTTGTCTGTGTCTGCTAGGTATTTTGTGTGTCCCTTCACTGTGTCCGGTGTAGAGTGACAGCTGTCTCGCCTTCGGCCTCTCTCAGACAGTGTCTAGATGTAGTTTAGTAATCCCAGAATTTTGAGTTACAGGGATACAGTTCACGGGTCTGCTTAGGCCCGTGTGTTAGGCTAGCAGGGCTAGGCAGAGGGGAGAGCTGGGCAGAGCATTCACTGGCCTCGTGCCATCTCGCGTGATTATTTGATAAATATTTATTGAGCACCTCCCGTGGGCATGGTTGAGGCACTGTGCTTCACCTCAGGAAGCTGGGAAGCCTCATACTGACCCAACTCCACGTTGGAGCCCCCTCCTATAAACACAAAGTGTTGTTGTTTTCCGGATGTAAAAGAAGTCATTGCCTACGGTGGATAGTGCAGGGAGTTCTTGGAAATTGGAAATACCTCTGAGAGAAGGAGGAAGCCCTCAATGTCTGGACTTTGTTGAAGGGACTACTAAATAGTACTGGAAAAATGGAGGCCATGCGTGTGCTATTTCTTTAAATGTTTCGGCAGAAAACTGCCCTAAGGTATTATTCCAGGAAAGGAATGGCAGCAAAAGATAGCCCCATCTGCATAATGATGTTCATTTTTAAAGTCCCAGTGTCTTCCAGGACATTTTGTCTGTTCTCAGAGGGCAGTGCTGGCGTTTCCTCCAGAGCAGAGTCAGCAGAGCCCTCAGCTTCCAGGATGTTTCCTTTCTGATTCTAAAGGCTTGTGACTGAGTCAAGTGTCTTTGCAGATATCCTAGAGCAGCGTTTCCCCTCCACCCTCCACAGATAAGACACTCAGAAAACAAGTTCTGACAGCCAGTGGCAGGAGATTTTCAGATTTCAGCTTAAACCCAGTGCATGGTTGTGGCAAAAGGTCTTGAAGCTGCAAAGGACTTTTGGGGCTCCGAAGGCTCTGATTCCTCTTTAACCCACTAGCACTGCTGTCCTCTTCACCCGCCCTAGACAGTACACACCCTGTCTTTCCCCTCTGTTTTTCCTTCTCCTTCCCTCCTCTCGTCACCTCTGCATCTGGCAGTGTGCAAGGTGAGGCCAGGCTTTCCCGGGGCTAAAGAATGTGCTGATCCATCCTGCATGTGGTGAAGGCCGGGGAATAGAACACATGAAGAATGTGAATGGGAGCACGGATATGAGCTCTAGACTATTGGCCTTGACTCGGCTCCCTGTACTGGGCCAGATCTCCCACTGCTTCTCCACTCCTGTTGGCGATAGATAGATAGATAGATAGATAGATAGATAGATAGATAGATAGATAGATAGATAGATGGGCACCACTGGCATGAAACCTCAGAGATGCCCATCCCTCGGAATCTATCGGGCTTTGGAAGAGGGACCCCCCGCTCCATGCCCACAGAGGGTCTTACTTGGTGCAGAAGGCTGGGTGTTTTGCATTCTGATTTAAATGCTGACATTGCAGAGTTTGCCCCTTTCTGCCTGCCCTGCCGCAGTCATGCTCCCTGTGGAGTCAAGAGGGCCCCGATCTAGAAGGAGAAGAAAGCAGCCTCGGCCCTCTGTTCAGACACAGCATTTAACGTCAGGCCAGTGGCCCGCCCTGGAAGCAGGGGTGCAGGGTCCCAAGCAGCTCTCAGGTGCCTGGAGCGTAACTGGCCACGCCTGCCCAAACCCAGGCCACACCAAAGCGAAGCCGGGGAGGGTTGTGTGTCAGCATTGCCCATAAGGCAGCAGCAAGAAAAGGCAGGCATAGCAAGCTCAACCTCCTGTCGGCACACACAGTTTCTTTCTGCATTTGTATTGACTGAGAAGAGGACCCACAGTGCAGAGAACCCACCGCTTTCTGTGGGAATGGTGCCTTCAGGGAGAACACACAGAAAACGGGCTATTTTATTATGTGCAAACAAACATACGCTTGTTTGAAGTTACAGAGTATCTCCCCTCTCACACCCACGTAGGCATCCAAGGAGGAAACCCCTTCCTTGCCTTTGACGTTCACCAGACCTGTCTCGATAGAACAGGACAGATTAATGGCTTAATCTCATTTCCACCACCGTTGCTATACATTCATTGAATGGCATCTATGTCTTAAATCAAATGGAAGAAAAAAAAGAAATGTTCTTTCTTGCTATGTGCGTCCAAAACGTGGCCGTGTGTCTTCGCCCCGACCAACCCAAAACACACTGAACAGATTGCGTGTCCTTCATGGATGTCCAGATCCTGTAAATAAATCCCTGGGAGAGCCTTGCCTTTCAGGTGAACCCCCATTTCCACAGGCTGACCCTACAATCCTCTCTCCTCGCACGGAGATCTTGGCCATGGTCCTGTCCTTGGTTTTGGTGTTTGGGCGTCTTGTTTTGTCTCGTCTTGTGTCTTTTCTGTGTTGACTGCTCTGTAAGACCTCCTGCTGTGAATGTCCCAGTTGCCCCCATTGTACTCTCTTTCTATCAATATATATGTGCTGCATGTGCGAACCCCAATAAATTCTGTCCTGGGTTTCTGGAGTCTTCACTTAAGTGCAGCTGGTCTTGTTGTGAACTCATCATCCTGGTATGCTCCTCTGCGTCTGTTTCCTGATTGCCAAAACGTTTGACCACGTGTGTTTTGACGAGTGTCCCGAGACAGCCATGTGTATCCTTGTGGAAGGGCATGCTCCCTGGAGGCTCACTCGTGTACAGCGTAAATCCATCCGATGTGGACGTGTGTATACATGTATATGCCAGATACTTAACATTCATGTAGCAGCTGCAAAGATATGTAATGTACATCCAATTAATAAAAAGAGCATTTTTTTTTTTTTGCTCCGTTATATTCAAATAAAGATTGCCGTGTGACTGGTTTTTCTTGCAAGCATGGATTGACCCTAAAAAAAAAAAAAAAAAGAAGAAAGAAAGAAAAAAGAAAAGAAAGTACTTTGTAAAATGGAGATGGTGAAAACCTGTTTCCCTTGATTCCGGCTGACTTGAATTGTGTCTGTGGGCCGGTGTCATGGGCATTGATGTATTGTTGATTTTACAGGAACACTTTCTGATGGTTGGCCAGGACCACTGGGAAGAAAATGTTGGCAGGGGAGTTTGTGGCAAAGCAGATGCTTGTGTTCTTTTGCCCCCGAGCAGGAATAGCAAACAGATTTGTAACTAGCATATGGTCTCCGATTGATTGGTCGTGGCTGCTTGGAACACGAGTTTGAGAAGAATGATGAGAAAAAAAGTGCTGTTTTGTAGCATGGGCATGGGAGGCAGACACATGGACTGTCTGCCACGGATTTGCTGAGTACTCTCGACTTCATTTAAAAGGAGACCCAGCTTCAAGTCTCTTTACTAATAAAGGGTGTTGTTACGCACATAACAAAGAAGGTAGGACAATTCCTAACTTGGGTACGAGGTGGCTTGGCAACATTATCTAAGACCCAGGTTCTTTCTGTCTTTTAGATCAGCCATCCCTGGCTCACTGCCTTTTGCCTCCTCATGGGCTTCAGATGGTTTCAGCAATTCTAAGCATCATTTCATCACACAAATATCTTAAGGGCCACAAGAGGTACCATCCCCTCTTTATGACCCTTTTTTACCATTAAAGGGATCATTCTCAGAATCCTCCAGCAGACTCCTCCTCTGGATGGATTTGTACCATTTGCCGACTCCTAAGCCAGTCACTAGCAAGGGGAATATAATTCCCACCACTGGCTTAAACTACTCAAGATTCCCCTCCCCCCAGAGAACTTGAAAGGACCTCACCCTTCCCTGAAGCACAGGGCTTCGGACTATGTGAACAAAATTGGGCTTTAGCAAGCAAGGAAGAAGGAAGGTCGCTACTGAGAAGGCTAGCAACCGTGGGCTCCAGAACTGAGCCATTTCATGCTGTGGCCACATGCCGCTATTTATATTTAAGCTTAAAAGAACTGAAATTAAATTCAGTTCCTCGGTCACACTTAGCCACATTTCAGGTGCTCGCTCGATTACCACGAGACTTGTGACTGCTATAGAACATTCTATCCTCAACGACAATTCTGGAAAACACTATCCTGGCTCGGCCGACGTGGCTCAGTGGTTGAGCATCAACCTATGAACCAGGAGGTCACTGCTCCATTCCCAGTCAGGGCGCATGCCCAGGTTGCAGGCTCGATCCCCAGTGTGGGGCATGCTGGAGGCAGCTGATCGATGATTCTCTCTCATCATTGATGTTTCTTTCTCTCTCTCCC